TCTGCTCCTATCCCATCAGCCCCTGGGGAGGCGAAGGGACGAGAGGAATCACGATATCTGTGATTATCCCGCTCGATTGGGCAAGAGATTAAAGGGAAAAAAAAACTATTGACATTTTTTCCCTTCCTCAGCAATTGTGTGCTGTTAATTATCATTAGAGAAACTTCATAGGAGTGAAGCTGCTAACCTGAGGGGAGAGTCTTTGGATTCAGTCTTTATGGTGATTTGAGGAGCTGTGATGTATTTTACATGAACCTCTGACTGACTGCAGATAAGGAGGGAGTTAGAGTTGGGCCGTTTCTGTTCACTACTGCTGGCCGTCGATATGCAATGCTAACTGTGTGTGTACGTGTGTGTGTGTGTGTGTGTATTTGTATGTAATTATGTGAGTTTTGTTGTGCCTGCCTTTGAATGTCTTTGAGTGCGTTTGCGCGTGTTCAAAAACTAGTCTGCTAAATCTTTGTTTTACCCATGCAGTCCCTCTCAAGCAATGTCATACTTTCTGATTTTGCCTCTCAGGAAATATTTTACTAATTGTCCCCAAACCATTAACTTACAGGCCGTGAAAAAGTGTTTGCCTCCTTCCAGATTTATTTTTGCATATTTGTCACACTTGAATTTTTAAAATCATCAAACTAATTTTAATATGAGACAAAGATAACCCGCACAAGCGCAAAAAGCAACTTTAAAATAATAATTTAATTTCTTTAAGGAAAACAAGTTATTCAACCCTACCTGGCCCTATGTGAAAAAGTAATTGCCCCTCTTGGCACTAAATTCACCAATTAAGTAAATTTGATTGATAACCTGGTTCACTTTTACTAGGCACACCTTGGCACGATAACTGCCAGCCCTGTTGAATCTAAACATCATTTAAATAGAGCCTGTCTGGCATTGTAAAGTTGGCAAAAAGCAGCACATGATGCCACGATCTAAAGAAATTAAGAGCGGACGATAAACAAAGTTAGTGACATCTATGAGTCTGGAAAGGTTACAAAGCCATTTCTAAGGCTATGCAACTTGAGTAAACCATATTCTTAGGTTTAGCAGGGCAATTTTTTTTTTCTCATGGGTGTTATAGGTTTTAAATAAGTCTACCTTCTTTAAATGAAATGATCATTTAAAAGCTGCATTTGGTGTTAACTTTTGTTGTCTTTGTCTAATATTAAAATTAGTTGGATGATCTGAAATATTAAAATATGATAAAGGCACGAAAAATGAAGAAATCGGAAAAGCGGAAATACTTTTTCACTGCACTGTAAATTACAAGGATTTTGAAAAATTCTAATTTTACCTACAGAGAGCCTGAACATCTGTTGAAGAGAAATGTTTGTATCTCACTGTTGGTGAGAGGGTGGACCTATGCTCTGAATACATCCTCGCTGTTTTCCCCCAAAACACCCTCTCGTTCATCATGATGGCGAAACACAATGACATGGCAGTCTGTCTTTGTAATGCATGTAAATCCTGGTAATTCTTTAGTTCAGTGCTCACAGAATCTGTTAACAAATCTCCCATTTGCTGGTTTTTACTTACCTTTTTTTTTCCTCAATGCAGTATTTTTATTCTTTTTTTTTTTCCCCTGCAGCGGCGTTAAGATGTCCGCTTTGTAAATGCAGTCATCTGAGCTGTGCTATTAAAGACTGGATACACAAAAGGAGCAATCAGCTAGCTCATTACAGAGGCTGTCTTTGAGTGGTACATGTCAGTGAGTTAGCACGCGCTGCGGGGGACTGTGGCGCGGATGAGGCGTCTAATCTTTTCCCCCTCCATTGTCTCTTTCTTAAGGTTTGCAGATCTCCAAATAACGCGCAATTACACTGAAACAGATGATTTCTGTTCATTTTTCACCGCATTTTCACTACATTCCGCTTTGATTTATGCTTCTCTTTCATTTTTTTTTTAAATTTTGGTTGCCAGTCTTGGCTGCCAATGTTTTAGTAAATAACAGACTACTGAATATTCATTATTTTTGTGGCGAAATAACTTTTCAGTTCTTGTGAAGGGTAATTAAAGATTTTAATTGGTAATTTAATTTTATAAGTGACGGAAGATCATCCTACTCAACTGCGCTACCAGCATTAACATCTCAAGCCATACTGTATAAATGTTTATTTTCAATCAATATCAGCTTTTGCTGTGGATCATTGGGAGAGCTGTGGTGCTCAAGAGGATTGAGGACTCTTACCCCTGGGTCATTCCATGTCAGATCATCAAATGGGTCTCACCACCACCCTCTCAATTTTGCTAATTTTTTGTATGCAGCTGTATAAATATATATCGATGACAAATCCGAAATTTCAGCTCATTCGGACCAAAAATGAATTTTTGGTGAATTATTTTCTAAGGGTACTGTCCGTCAGTTTTTTGTCAATTGACATTTTTCTTGTATTTAACATGGCATAACTTTTTTATTATTACACCTATAGCTTTGAAACTTTGCATCTAAGCTAATGTTATACTGCTTAATCAGAAAATGTAGTCCATTTTATTTTATCTTTCTTGGTTGGGGAGCTATGAGGACACCAAAAGTGCCTTTTGTTCAGGCTGTTCCATGTTTAGGTCCCCAAAGCACCCCCAGTATAAACCCTAGCATAGGCTCTCTGGCATTTTTTCCATTCATTTGTGTCTGCTGAATAAAATCAGGCTGAATTCACCATGAATTCATCACCAACTGCAGTCAGTACCTTGCCAAATGTGAAAAAAACACTAAAATGCCACCTGTTCAAACCCCTGTATCTCCAGGGGCACACCTTGGATTTTCTTCTATTTTTTAAAACTGATTCCTCTATTATAGTAGAGAGACCACTCCAAAAATTGTTGATGTGTTTTGACCAATATAAATTTTGCAGGTGTCTGAACAGGGGTGGGGGAACAGGGGTGGGGTAATCTCAAAATCGCTTGGCATTTTCAGCTTCTTAGACAATGTTAATGATTATTGAATCGCAATAATTGTAAGTTCTCAATTCATCAATGCATGACACATTCACAGAAAGGTCAGTATATGCAGGTTGGTAGATCATGTTGGCAAGGAGAAACCTGAACCAGTTATTGATCAATAATTTCTGATTATTGCTATTGTTTTTCATGAAGTGAAACAAGAGGACACAAGCATTAGCATGGACTTCTTATGAAAAATGCTGGGTGCCGTTCAATAACATTCTCCGAACTGTTCCAACTCCGGATGTCACTGGACGTACAGCCCGGCAGTATAAGTTGGACAAAACTGGGACAGACAACATTGTTGTGCTCTTTGCTGCATTTAGGAAGCAATAACACTGTTAACATAGCATGGAATACGAAGTTTTAATTTGACAGTCAGTTTACAAGAATTAGTGTCTGTAAATTTTATTGATGCAAAGAAGTGTGATTCTCAAAAATTGCCTGACCCCTATTTAGACAGTTCTGAAATGTAGGTCATTCAAGTCACATCAACAATTTTTGTTTTGTTATGTCTACTATAATACAGGAATTTGTACAATTTAGTATGTGATTGCCTAATGATTGAAAACACTTACACATACAACTATGCAACATTTTAAGAAGCTTAAAGTGCCACGCGATTCTCAAGATTACCCAACCCCTGTTCAGACACCTGCAAAATTTATACTGGTCAAAACACATCAACAATATTTGAAGTGGTCTTTCTATTACAATAGAGGAATCAGTAAAAAAAAAAATTGAAGAAAATCCAAGGTGTTGGAGATACGGGGGTTTGAAAAGGTGGCATTTTAGCGTTTTTTTTTTTTTTTTTCCACATTTGGCAAGGTACTGACTGCAGTTTGTGATGAATTCATGGTGAATTCAGCATGATTTTATTCAGCAGACACAAATGAATGGAAAAAAATGCCAGAGAGCCAATGCTAGGGTTTATATTGGGGGTGCTTTGGGGACCTAAACATGGAACAGCCTGAACAAAAGGCACTTTTGGTGTCCTCATAGCTCCACAACCAAGAAAGATAAAGTAAAATGGACTGCATTTTCTGATTAAGCAGTACAACTTTAGCTTAGATGCAAAGTTTCAAAGCTATAGGTGTAATAATAAAAAGGTTATGCCGTGTTAAATGCAAGAAAAATGTCAATTGACAAAAAAACTGACAGACAGTACCCTTAGAAAATAATTCACCAAAAATTCATTTTTGATCCGAATGAGCTGAAATTTCAGATGTGTTCATCACTAATACATATTTATCTAATGTGAAAATATGGAAGCAATCTATGACTACATGGTGACAGATGTTTTGTGTATCTGATGATTTGACATGGAATGACCCCCCTGCACTCGTCCTGAAGGTGTGGGATGTGTTTTCAGGGCGACCGCAAGTTTGAAGGGCTTATTCGTTCTGGAGTGTTTCCAGTCCACACCTACACTTCCACACTCTCGTACACATGCGCACAAACAGATGCATATGTGCAAATACTTTATACACACAATCTCTCACTAGCTTCTACCCCTGGTATGGAAAATATGGTGGTTTGTGAGATTTTTTTTAACGATGAAGATTTTTTTTCAGCCTATATAAAACATTTCTGAAGCATCCTCGACTGAAGGCTTGAGATGTAAAACATTATGGCGTGCGCTCGCCGTCAGTGGCTTAAACAGCTGATCGATAGAAAATGTGTTTGTTTATACGTTTGCTGAATTTAGTTTATTTTCCGGTTCTCCGGCAGCTGCATCAATAATTTCAAAATGTCTTATGTACGCAGATGAGACGACACCATATTTATACACGTCACAAGAGGCCAGCTTTTGGGAATGTGTTCAGATATATTGCTTTAATTTTCGATTTCCCTGCAGCATGGCAGTCTTAATTAGGTCTGGTTTCTGTAAATCTCTCTGAGCACATACATACTCATAGATGCGTACATACTCACGTACACAAAGGTAATTTACAGTACTGATATTGCATGTCTCTAGCCTTTTCTCCACCAAGTACATCGGTTCAGTCCACGTCACACATTCGAAGGGTTATGGATGTGTTTCCTTCGTCAAAAGCTGTGGCAAGATGTTGCAGTGGTAAGCACTGCTGCCTCACAATAAGGAGGTTCTGGGTTCGAGCCCTGCCCTGCCTGGGTCTCTCTGCGTGCAGTTTGCGTGAGTTTCCTCTGGGTACTCCGGTTTCCCCCATCCAGAAAAACATGCATTATAGGAACACTCCTACCGGTGCCCCTGACCAAAGAACTGGCTTTAGAACTGGAGTTGGTCCCGGCGCTGCTCTGTGGCTGCCCACTGCTCCTAACTATAGGATGGGTTAAATGCAGAGGACAAATTGCCTCACGGGGTTCAATTAAGTATATCTTGTCTTATGAGGATACCAAATAATCATACCCAATCCGTCACATTTTTTATTAACCGCTCTGTTGAGGTAACTGGTACACTGTTTCAAAACTAAAAGGTGGAGCTAGAAACACTGCAGTTAGTTGATTGGTCAAAAGAGAATTAGCAAGGGCTTTGATAAGGCTGAGTGGTCGGCGCGGCTGTTACCACTCGGAAAAGACCTCGCCAACAATTACGAGTACTGTCTGGGGTGGAAACGCAAACCAGATTAAGGGTTTCATTACGGGTTACATGCCAATTATGAGGGTGCTATACTGTAAGTGTTTGGTGGAACTGCAGCTCATGTGCACTTGAATGTAGAAAGATACTTACATGCAAACAGTGAGCTGTTTCCTTCTGAAAATATCGGTGATGTTATGACAGTCCTCAAATTCCCAAGGGGACACACTCAGCCATTTTAGTCTTCATAGATAACTGAGTAAAACTAATGGATCCTTCTAAACTAGTGAATAGGTCTTCTCATTTAAAGTTCTTAAAAACACAGACATGTGCACACTTAGTTCATGTATGAATTCCTATGAATTGGTTGTGATGGTTTTATTTGGTATTGTTTCTGCTAATTGTCAAAACATGTCTGAACGTGACTCGCGGGGCTTTAACATTTCTTCTACAACTTAATGCCCATGTGCATGTCAAACTATAATCAGACATCAGTGACAAACTGGTATGTGCAGCCTATGGTTTATTAATCATATGCATACACACTTATTTTAGAAAGGGTTGAAATGAACGGCTGTCTCTTGAAATGTGTCAGTCATTGTTGCTTTGAGAGATGTAAGCTATTGCATGCCTGTAATTTTGAAGAAACTGAAGATTTTACCCAGTATGCACCTCTGTCTTCACAGAGCATGGCCTAATGGGACTTACTAGGACAAAAAGAGCATTGGAAGGCCCAGAAGCCCAACTGCGGGAGAACAAGTACATCAGAGTCTCTAGTAAAATAAACAGATGACTCACAGGTCCTCAGCTGGCAGCTACATTTGGCAGTGCCCACCAAACATTAACATCTGCAGCTGTAAAAATCTGACCCTGGGATTTTGCCAGAAGACGACCTGCGAAGACCCTGATCATCAATCTGGACACTCTGATGTACTCGTCCTAGATGGAATTACCTATGGTTTCCCCAGCCATTTTGTCGCACTTGGGAGTCAACTATCTGATTTCAGACTTCCTTGTAGTTCGTTTACCAGTTCTGGATCGGTCGTTGAGAACGCTAGTAGCACTGATTTTAGTGTCGTTCACATGGCTGCATATAAAATTGATAACAAATCATTGGTTCTAACTGCCTCAGTGGCTCTCTGATCTGCATGTGTAATGTGTTTTTATCCCCCGCCACAAAGCGGATTGGGGATTCAGGAATGATTGTTGTCAGTCCATGTTTCTGTCTGTCTGTCTTTCCATCCATCTCGCTTGTATTCCGGGCCGAAACTCCTGAACCGCTCAATATTTTTCTACAACATTGCGAACACGGGTACGTCTCATTATGTAGACGTGCCTTTTCATACCTCCATCCGTCCTCCTGTCCGTCCAACCACAGCGTTTTATTGCCAGGCCAGATATCAGCTATATCATTCCCTTTTCGGGCCAGAACTCCTCAATCGTTCAGTATTTCTCAACAAAATATAATACATGGACACAGCTTATTGTGTAGACGTGCCTTTTCTTACTTCCATCTGTCCTGCTGTCCGTCCGTTCGTCCCTCCACACCATTTAGTTTCCGGGCTAGATATCAGCCGTCTTGTGGCAGGGGATCTAAGTATTTCATGCTTATTTTAAATATGCATTTCATGTCTTGTATGTTATGTTTTTATGTCATATTTTGAGTTGCATCTTCTGCCTAAATTGTGTGACGTGTATAAAGTTTGATTGATTGACTGATTGATTAATTGGTTGGTTGATGGACTTTGGATTGGTTGTTCTTTGGATGTATTTAATTTTCAGCATACTTTATGATAAAATGTGTCTGTTGTAAAATACATATTTTCATGCTTGGAGTTTGTGTTTTCTTTCTATTCCCCTCTCATCATCATTGCCCATCGCAGATTTCAGAGATAACTGTTTTTCTGATACACTAAGCATTTCCATGCCATAAAAACATTGCTTATAGAATCACTCAGTTAAATTGCTTAATTGAAACGCAAGGGATCGCCCTTATGGTTCTATTATTCAAAAGTGTGAAACAGAGAAAATTGATTTGCTGCCCATGAAATGCTGTTCTGCGATGGGTGAGGGCCATATGCTACACCAAGGTAGCTAAAGTAGTTGTGACGCATTAGAAGCTGTGCCAGTATTTGCGGTTTGATTAGTGGATTTTTATTTAAATGCTGGTCATATGTTGAAAGTAGGTTCTGAAATCACCGATCTTCAACAGTCTGCACTCAGAGCAAACACTGAATAAGCAAACTGAGTCACAGCTTCTGAGAAAGTGATTCAGAAGAATCTGTGAATGGGATTTTGAAATGAGCAAATTCAGTGAACGGATTTTTTTTTTAATTATTTATTTTCATTCATTATTTTTGCACCTCTTTGCATGCCCATCAGATATTTGAAGAGGACACTGTTCCCAGTTTCACAATAAACCCCAGTTCACCCTGAACTGCCTGGGATAATGTCCAAGGGCCACTTTTTCTGGCCAGGTTGATGTAGACGCTTCTCCCTTCACCATACCCAGGAATTAATTTTTAAAAATTACCCCTCATTGGGGTAAGAGACACACACCCCCGCCTCCCAACCATCCTAAGGTCAGTGCCAGGTTACTTTCATCGTTCCCTGTACCAGAGGGCAAGGAGCCACTTACCTACTCTCTCTCATTTTCAAAATCCCCTAAGATGTTCGATCACAGATGTCTCATCAGGACCCTCTGAATCATACATTCTGCACATGTGCCAGTGCTGATGATGTCAGAGTCCATTTACTCTTGATGGAATTCTGGAACTCTGACGTGTATTTGGAAAAAAAAAAAAACTGTTTTTCCAATGTTTGAAGCTTATCGTATCACTGTGGACAACTCAACTCATTTTATTACGGTCTATATCTCCTTAAAACACCTGTTTTCATATTTTGGCTTATTTAGGCTGGAAAGGTCGAAGTGGCAGTCTTGATTCAGGTGCCATTATCTCTGGCAGATGGAAGTACTCGTAACGTAAAATTATCCTGTTTATCCTGCTGATTCCTCTCCGTTTTCAGTGTGCATGTTTGCGGTGATCAAACAGGTTTAGTTTGAGACTAGCTCAGTCACAGGGTGGCTCGACAGTACACTTGGTAGCTGGCCTTGATGTGGTTGGATCTGACTACTTCCTCAAAAAGACCATTGTTCCCTTTCACAGCTGCTGTGATTTGGAACAGATGGCAGTGTAGGCCTGATTGTGTGGGTGCACCATTGTGATTCTGTGAATGCTTGTGTAAAAGTATGTGTGTGCGAGAGAGAGAGAGGGAGTGAGAGATGGCTAAAACACAAAAAAATGACTGTATTTCCTGTTCATTGGGGTGGATACTGTACATTTATTTTGTTGTTTTTCTCAGTTGCAGTAATGTGGACCTGTATCTGTGAAACACAGTTGGGCAGTTTCAGTTAATTCTTGAATAAATTTATGAGTAACACTTTACAATAAGGGTACATTATTTAATGCAGTAATAAGCATAAATTACCAATTAATTAACAGTTAACTAATGCATCAGAGAGCTAAGCATGAGGTAACATTGGCCATTTTGTGACCTTTGATATTCCTTCACCCTTTGACACTTATTTCAACAACCTGCAACCTCTAGCGGTCACTAATATTGCTCAAATTTCATTAATCTTTGCATAAAACATCTTTGGGGTAAATAACTAATTCAGTATTTCATTATATCCTCCAAATAAGAGTTTCGAGGATATCATGGTTTCGCCCCACCTGCCGCCGCTTCTCATTTTTAGCATATGGGTAGATATGGTAGAGAGGATGAACTGATTAGATTTTGGGCAAGTATGCACTCCTAGGTTTGCCACCAGGTGGCGCTATATATTGAAAAAATCAGTTTTTTAACCATATCTTTGGAACAATTACTTACACAGACCTCAAATTTGCCTCATATTGTAGGTCTAGTAAAGGGGAATCTAATAAAGGGGGCTTCGAGGATTGGGGAATTTCGGAGATATACCCCTTGCTGTCAGCCGCCGACAGCGTAGGCCTAGTTTCAACTTTGTAATCACTCCTAAATGGGTGTGGCAGGGTGGTAGTTTTAAAATACGAATTTATTTCTTCAATAATTTTCTTCAAAGTCACTTTGATCTTTATTAATATTTTGTGTGAAAGATTGGGAGGTTTACTTGCAACCACATTTTTTTCATAGCCTGTAAGTTAATATTTGCTAAGGGTGCCAATATTAGTGGGGGGCACTGCGTATTAGCCCGAGAGTTTTGTATATTTTATTTAAAGGAGGTCCTCAATGAGTGAAATGTCATTTTTAATTCAAAATGTGATTCTGTTGGAAGTGCAATATCAAAGCAGATGAAGTATAACTTGCATTAACTGATGGGCACAAATCACTATCTCTGAGGTTGATCTCAACCATTTCATTTGAAAGCCTTTTTTGAGATTTGTTCCCTTAGCTGCAAATTTAGTTTTCTGTCAGACACTTGCTCATGGAAATGAATCACAAAATTGTGTTTGTGAAAGAGGCTTTTTTTTTTTTTGCTTATTTGTTTAGACAATGAACCAGCAAGTGAGACATAAATCTTGGGAGCTTAAAAAT